AATGCCGTGAAACACAAATACACACACACAGGGTAAGGAAGAGGGGGAAAATCGACAGCAAACAGTGGAAAAGCCTTCCGAAATGGATTTACAGCAATTTGCGCCATTTTTGCCCCCTACAAATTCCACTTTATGCTACTCTCTCTCTCTCTCGCTCTCCGTTTCAGTCGCCTGCTATGTCTCTCTCTCTCTCTCTCGCTCTGTTGCTTTCTATGTCTCCTTTCTCCAACTGTAATTGGCATTTAAAATAATGGTTGGGATTGCTAGAGGAGGATGCACGTCGGATGTAAGATATAGTAGGATGTCTACTAGTACGTACCCCCCACACGACACTTCAGGTTATCGTTTTCTTTTACAGGCTCGCTCACGTTTTGTGGTTTACGGTCGCTCGAACTTAATTAATTGTTTTAATTGTGAATTTGATGGGCTGTCAAAAGAGGATTCGCACGTTTTCCCGAGAAGTCAGGGATAGAGAGAGAGAGAGAATCATGCCAGGAATCATAGCTAGACAGTTGGATGAGTCGATGTTAGACGATTGAGTAATGGATTTAGGAATTAAAGTGCATAAAGCTGGAATAGAAAGTACTGTGCTAAATGCAGAAGACTGTGCTCTAGGGAAAACATTTTGACAATATTTTTGGTGCTATTTGTTTAGGTATTTTATTATATTTTTGAAATGTTTTAAAAAATATATTTTAAATGTATTTTGGAGTATATTTGTATGAAATTTTTGAAGGTATTTTATGTCATTATTAAGGGTATTTAAGAACGCATTTTTGTCTCGCTACTTGCTACATTTTCTTCGGATGCTTTCTCCATCTCTCAAAGCACTTCACCGCAGATCTCTTTCCATGTCATACTGGTCTCAGAGCGTTGCCTCACAACTGTCATCAAAGGCAATGGCACAGCCAAGGGCAAAAGCAACCAATTCCTAATCCTTAATCCTTGATATTTGATACACTTTCGCTTGAAACTGTAACCATAATTACAGATATCTTATGCATTAGGCCAAAAGCCAAAACTGAGGACACACAAAACACAGTGCCATTATACACAAGACTCCAAGTTCATGGGGGCATAAATTATGGAAACATAAGCGGCGGTAAAGGGGGGTTCAATGAATTAGCTATAGAAGCGCCTCTCTCTTGGGGTAAGCCCCGGCCCATTGTCCATGAATATTTATGGGTAAAGCAGAAGCTAATAATACGACCAGACCCCAGAGAGAGAGAGAGAGAGAGAGAGAGAGAGAGGAGCACAAGTATCTCATAGATTGGCCCCTACAACTGTTAATTGAATGTAAATGACTAAGGACAGCCCATTCAATTACCTACCCACCGCCTCTCCCCACAAAACACAACCTGTAGCAGCCCAAAAGATCATCACAGGTTCACAGCTATATGTACATATTGTATATATTATCTGTTACCTTTGTGGTGGTAAAATCAAATCATGTTTTTCATGTGCCAAGTGTTTGATAACTATGCAAATGCTTAGAGGGTCATGCAATTTTCTCAGGCCAGAGATCAGCATAAATTAGGTATACACTTAACGAAATCAGTTAAAACCTAAAGAGAAGCCTTGTTGGGGTATATACAACGTTTTCTTTCAGTGCACAATGCTTAGCTCTCGAGGGTTCTGGCCCTGACACTTGACTGTGAAAATGCTCTCGAGTGCCTTGGAGTGTCAGGAACTTGTCTAAGATTTCAATTTATATGATAACATCTGTGGGGCTCTCTCCCTATAATAACCCACACTACTGGGTTGTGGTTCTACTTTCTTTTACTCTCTCTCTCCTACGCCCAAAACATCTTCCACTTTTCAAATGAATGTCTAAGCTAATTTTCTCGCTTTTCCTCGCATACATATATACATATAAAAACTTGTCTCTCACTCTCACTCCATTTGGCAATTCATTAGCCACTCCACACCCCTCTCTTCGCAGCCGTCTCATGGTCGGGCAGTGGGTTGGGGGAAATTGTATTGGTTTTGCTTTTGACTGAAATGTCAACGGCATGCGGTGTGTCGTGTCGATTGGCCCCTGCAGTGACTGGCAAATTAATTAATAGTTTTGTCTCCCACCTTCAATCGGTCTCTGTCTTTTCCTCTCTCTCTCTAAGCCCTGTCTCTTTCCCAAACCAACTATATATATATATATATATATCTGTACCTCTCCCTCTATCTATCTATCTATATCTGTGGCTTTTGGTTTTCTAAGCACTTTGAGTACTACATTGTAGAGGATGCTGTAGGATGATTGCTATTAGCATTGATTGGAGGCGTCCTTTGTTTGTCTGGCATTTGACCAAAAGCCCCAACTCTCTCCATCTCTCCATCTCTTTCTCTGTCTCTCTTGCTCTCTCCCTGCCTCTTGGACTTTGTTGCGGTCAGAGTTTTGGTTCCTAGGGTTTGGGTTTTGGCTTCTGATTCCTCTGGCTTCCACTGGTGATGGCTCGTTTGATGATTAGCTACTTGAGAGTGTATAATTATTGGCTATATGTGGATGGGTTTGTGATTGTGGCTGTTTGTGTGATTGTCGCTGTGTGTTTGATTGTAACTGTGTGTGTGTATATGACATGAATATCTTTCAGAGGGGAGAGAGTGAGGTGTACTTCATGGGTACTTGCTTTTGGGTGGGATTTATCCTAAATATTAATGGTTATTCAATGATTTATGTTTGATACATCACATAAAACTAATTATATAAAATTTAAGTGCATTGAAATGCGGTTTAAAATAATTTGTTTTAGACTTAGAGAATTTTCTGCTAATGAGAACATCTTTCATCTTGTACGTATAAATGTTTCTAAAGCAATTTATTGACTGGCAACACTATTTTGATGGATAATTTCCTCAAAAATTTCCTCTCTAAGACATAGTTTCTCATACTTCAAAGAAACACAAACAATTTCTGCTTACCTCCTCACTAAAGTTACAGTCGATAAATTATCGTTTTATAATCGATTGCATAAAAATAGTCTGTGGAAAACTATCAAAGAAATGAACATATGACTTAACGATTATAGTGTAGATTAACCGATATTTTATCGATAAATTATCGATATTTTAGTCATCAATCAAAGGCATTTTATTGATAAATTATAGAAACGTATGAATTATAGAAACAGTAGAAATGGCATCGATTTATTTTCGATGTCATAAATATATATTATCGATTCAACATCGATATGTTATCCATAAATTTCTTTATATTTCATTTAAATTAAAGATAACTTTCACTTTCCATAAGCTTCTCCATTTTTGTAGTTCTTATGACAACATCTTCTTGTGGGGCTTACCTTGTGTATCCATCAGATACTTTTGTGTGAAGAGGTGGCAGGGGGTTGCTTTTGTGTTATTCTTGGGCAACAGATTTTACAGCTACTTAATCGATGTAAACTTGATTTCAAGAATAACAACAACCAACAACAAGAACAACACCCAACACCCAACACGGGCAAACAATGAAGAAGATTGTAAGCAAACAATGTAACCAAATTGTGCCAACAAATAAACCGAAGCGAACCGAACCGAAGACAGAAGACCGAAGACCGAAGAAGAGGGTGTCCTGTCCGCAAAGGCGAAAGGGCAGAGGAGGAGGAGCTAGCTACCAGCCGCAAGGAGGAGGACAGATGAAGCCGCGGGTCAAGCAGCAACAAAAGAAATCATCGGTAGAGTGGAACAGCAGCAGAAGAGTCCTTCCGTGGGTGTAAATGCCAGGACTGTTGTGGGAGAGTGTTCAGTGATTTAGTGGCCTTCTGTTTGCATAAGTGTGGGTTTTGTTTGCATCGGTATTGTATATTGTATCTGCTGGGAACGGTATGTGTGTGTGTGTGTGTGGGCTGATTGGGTTGAAAGCAGAATAAATAAACATGAAATCAGCAACAGCTCCCAGAAGCTGGAAGCCCCGATAAGTGTATAAGCAGAAGTGCCACAGGCTACAGAAGGGGATTTTGTATCTGATTTGAGTCTTGGCCAAAAGGAACTTGAGAATGGGTAGTAGGGAGGGCTAAACAAATCACAGAAATCTTGAATAAGAAACCCAAAAGCACTGACTGGCTCTGCCCCCCGCAGTATGTTTAGTGAAGTTGTCTTTCCCACGCCCCAAAAACCTCTCCATTCATGACTTGCTCTGACAATTAAGTGTCTGGTGGATTGTGTGCTGTTGATTTTTTTTTTTTTTTCCTACATGACATGTAGATGACATTTGGTTAAGTGCGATATGATACCATGAATAGTTATAGAATCTATAATTTTTACTTAGCCAAGGGCAAGGCCGTCTTCGTTCTGTCAGTCCAGTTTTATTCTCATACTGCCCAGTGACGGGCAACCTGTTCTAATCAGACATTTAATTTCTCTTTTTTTATACCAAACACTTGAAGCTTCGACAAAACGCTGTCCTACCGCAAATTCAATTAAGTTTTTCTAATGATTAGTGGCCCCTTAAAAACGGCTACCGCCGTTTGCAGGCCCTCCTGTAAACCACTTCAACTGCAATCCTATCACATAATGACCCTAATTAGGGTGTAAATAAAACAAAAATAGCCAGCCAATAGATAAGCCAACAAAGCCAGCGATAACCGAAGCTGTCATCGGGTAGCAGTAATTAACGAAACAAAATCGGAATCGTAAAGCAAAACTGTAGTGATTTGTCAATCGGTTAATCAGGTGACAGGCAACATATGAGCGCCGCACATATGATTGATTTACGAGCTGGCTTGTACATAAATTGGCAACACGAAAAAAAAAAAACAACAAAAAGATACTATACGGCAATGTATCTATGGAATGTGTACCCAAAGAGTCATCATAAATTTGTTGTTATCTATTTTTCATATTTTTGAGTGTGTGTGTGTTTTTTTTTTGTCATTATCTTATCACGCATTTGATGGGGTACAAGTTTCCAAGCAAATTAAAGGCACTGATTGGGGAGCTCTCCTCATTATTCTTTATCGAGCTTCAGATTTTTTTTTGTCGTGTGTGTGTGGTGTAGCGCTCCTCTATTATGGTTCGGTCTTTTATTGAAGGAAGTTTTTAAAGTAAACTAAAAACTAAATAAAACAGCTGACGTAATAACTTAGGCAAAGGTTTTTTTGTTGGGGGGTTTTTTTTTTTTTTTTTTTGGGAGTGTCTTATTTTTTGATGGCAAATAATAAACGAAATCTACATTTGATTTTTGGGGGTTGCTTGTGTGTGTGTGTGTGTGTGCCCTTAGGCCTTGAAGATCAGGGCCATGGCCAGAGCCAGAAAGCCAGTAATCAAAGGCAGCGTCTGACTGGCAGAGCTGGCGTAGCAACTAAAAGAAATAAAAACGATATCAATTAGAATGATCTTTTGTGCAGATCTTAGGGAATCTTTTGGGATTCGATTCGATTACTCACCCAGCCTGCGTGACATTGCCGTAGGTGTTATTTTGGAAGTTTGCGTAATACAGTGAGGCATTATTGTTGGCCGACGCAATGCCTGCCGCCGTGTAAGCGCTGCGAGCCAGAATAAATCCATAGCTAGTGTTGCTATTGGCGGCATCCGTGTAGGCGCAACCCACCAAATAATTATCGGAGAAAGACAGCAGCTTAGTGTAGACGGCCGTCTCGTTTACGCCATTCTTTTGGAATGTCACATTGTAGCCAGCCGTTGAGGCGGCACCATCGCTGGCCAGCGTAATGTTGGCGCTCTCGTTCACATCCATGTAGAGGGATGAGACACTGCTCGAGTGGCTGATATTGACCAGGAGATTGGTGTTATTCCACAGTTCCGCCCTTATTTGAATGCAGGACGCATTCGCTGCAGGATTGCGGGCCACTTCCAGCCACGTACCCATCAACTGGGGAAGGGGTAGAGAGAGAAAATAAACAGACATTAGCTTTCGTTTGGGGCTATACTATAAATCTCTAATGTCTTTTCACTCACGTCAGTATTGTTGAAACTCAGACTGCTGGCAATACTGCTGCATGATGCGGGAGTGGCTGGAACTGTTTGTCCCTGCACCACAGACACAAGGACTGCCGCCGCGATGGCCATACAAATCATCAAACTTTTGCACATGATCTCACACTATATATATATATTTCACTGTCTGGTTATATCGATTACTCCGGTTCTACTCCGTTCGTTTCGCTGCAAGTGCGTCGTTCAACTGAGGTCGGATCGCACACAGAACTTGCTTTTATAGCCATGTGTATCTTTTGTCCTCTTTTTGCACCCCATTATCGAACCTCTGCACCCAGAAACGTGCACACACACATACACACACTCAGATACAGATAAACAATTCTGTCACCGATTTACGTACATCTGAGACCTGTTATCATGCCCCAGACGGAGGCATGAGTAATCCTCAAGGGCTTAGAGCTATCAGTGGTAGTTTGCTGATTTTCCATGTTCTTTTGGGGCGCTACCTACCTTTTGAAACTTCCCCCCATCGCAACCTTAGCCGTAAAGCTCATTGACATGGCCACAATAGATTTTCGTGGAAATTATTAACTTGGCCATAAATAGATGCATTGTCTAATTTACACAACAAATTGGCGTGGCTGAACCTTTTTACCATTATAAAGTGTTAATATCTTTATGGTTTTTTTTTATAATTGAAAGTTGTTTGAATTTGAAAAAAATCACGTCTACATTTATGGGATCGGAGTGGCATCATCAAATATAAGATTATTAAAAAAGTTACATATATGTATGTAATTATATATTTATTTCAGTATATATTTCATGATAGTAAGAAAGTGTCGAATGAAACTAAAATGTATATTATAAATATAGTTAGCAGATTCGCTTCATGGAGAAATGGAAAATCATCTAAATGTATTTCATTTTTCGATTACTGCATTTAAATAAATCTATATGGCAATAGAATTTCCCCTTAAATACTTTGAAAATTCATTCAAATTTTAATTATATTCTAGCGCAGGTTTTTCCCTGTCCTGTGCTATGACTACTTGCATTACTCATCTTTGGAAAAAGTTTATATTTCTTATCAATAGATACACAGACACAATGCCCCCACCTCTATTTAATTGAAGTCGCACACGTTGTATCTAAATCTTTTGACGATCTACCCCATCCCTTTGTGTCTCTACCCAGAGCATCGCACATGTGATTGTTTTTTATCACAGCCCCCAGAGAACTGAGTCAGCGTTGGACATAAAATTGAAGAAGAAATAAAAAAAAAAAAAATTGGAAACGTAAAAAACCCGTAGCAGATAGTGACACTATTTTGTTCGTTTTGTTTTGATAAATTGCAATCAGTGTGTGCAGAATGTACAGAAGAAAACACAGCAGAAAACAAGAAGGGAAGGCAGGAAGCTTCTGCTCGTCGTTGCCGTTGATACCCTTAGCGATCGATCGTTAAGTAGCATTAATAAATTTTCTAGAAACTGAACAGCTAGACAATAGATATTACTGTATTTCTACGCCTGCTGATGCTGAAGAGGAAATTTATAAAAGCTCAAGAATGGTTTCATCTTTGGCAATACCCTCTGCAAGGGTGTAGAAAGTGGAGAAATCCAACAAAACAGGTAACCAGATAGCATGCAATCATCGATGATCAGTGATTTATCGGTGTTCAGTGCTTATCAGTGTAGAGTAATGATATGCAGTGCTCATCAGCTTTGCTCAGTACTGTGTAACGCTTTTAGCAGTCTCTTTGTTAAGTTTTATGTTTGGATCAGTGTTTATTAATTTGTATCAGTGTTGAGTAATTATTTTTGATCAATGTTGATTAGTTTCAGAATCACTCTGCTGCTCTTTATTGTCTATCAAGTGTTGAACAACGCTTCAATCCAATCACACATAATCTAATATTTTCACTTGAACAAAACGAGAGTTTAAATAATATTCAATGACGAGCATCCAGCAGCCACAGAAGTCCAGTCACAGCCAACAAGAAAACGGAGATCATCGTCAGGGGATTGGCACTGCTGGGGGCATAGCACCTGGAAAAAACAAAACTATGACCATAAGATATCCATTATTAGACATGATGAATCGATCCGAATACATACGTTTCACCCTGAGTGATCGCCGACATGCTGCCGTTCAAGAAGTTAAAGGGAAACCGAATCGAAGCATTGCCCTCCAGTTTGTTCAGCGTATCGGTGGTCGGTGTGCGATCCCTGGTGAGGATCACACCAAACGAGGTCGAATTATCGGTGGCATTGGTGTAGCCGCAGATGAAGGCAAAGTCTGTGTAGTCAGTATACAGAACCTTGAACACGGTGTAGGGGGAGTAGTTGGGCGGATTCCAGTACGTAAAATTGTAGCCATCTGGTGCCTCGGTTTCATTCGGCACTGTGAGGGTGGCATTCATCGTCTGATTGACCCACGGATAGTCCGGGGACACGCCATAGGTTGTGTCAATCTGCACATTGTCATTGGGCTGATCCAACACGGTGAAGTTAACCTCAGTGCAGAAATAAGTGGTGGATGGCAGACGGGCAACCTCCCACCAAATGCCAGCAAACTACACAAGGATATGCGGAATTATTTTGAGGCTATAAATATAACCTGCACCCATTCCTATTCCTCACCTTATCCAATTCCAAAGCAACACTTGTGCTTAAATTGCAGGCCTGTAGAACATCATTTTGAGCTACTGTGGTGTGATCCCCCAGCAGTACGACCAGCAGCAGACAGATCACACTCAAAGCTTGACTCTTTGGCAGCATTTTTGCGTCTTATGTTGCGCGTAACTTGACCACAGTTCAGCGACTGAGGTGACCACGCAACGCGGATTGCCATGTCAGTGTGTAATTACCCCGCAACGTAATCAATCTGTAATCAATCAATCAGTGCAATGATATCTTAAAACCTTCAGATAAAACGATGATAAACCACCATGACTCACCAGTGTTGGTTAATGTGCAGACAGTTAGCTAAAACAAAGATTTGTTAGATCTTATCATTTTTTAGCATTGACCTAAGTAGTTTTCGATCAGAATCGATCAGCGCGAAAAGTGTGGCTGCAATTAGCCCCCAACCCCCACCTCTCCATTCCCACGCGCACTGATCTGATAATTGTGTAACTTGTGACTGCGATATCATATTTCTTTTTTTTTTTTCCAAATAGATAAGTGATAAGACCCACTGTCACATTGCAGCAACTCTCAAGTGATTGGCAAACAATTCATTGGAAATAAAAGAGCAGAGGTCGCTCATTAGTCTATCTCATTAGGGATACTCTTGCAACACTGATGGCCAGCCATTGTGAGACAACCACGGACATAAAATGCTGGATAATACTGGACTCGAACTGAGTGCAGTAGTTTTCAATGGCCTACTTCCAAGACTACTTTCTTTTGCAAGAAAAATTTAAAGTTCAAGTTTTAAAAATTAAACTTCTTAAAACAGTGTTGAAAAGCGTGTCTCAAGGGAGAGGGTGTCCTCAGCCGTTATGTTAACGTCTTCTTGTCTTCGACTTGTCTTCAGGCTTGTGTCTTGTAAGCTCTCAAACACCTCCATATCACATTAATTTTAAATGTCTTACAAGCTCGCGAAGAGTAAGAGAGAAAGATGCTCGTCGACAAGAGAGCGAGAGAGAGAGAGAGATAACTTTTGCTGACACTTTTCCTTGGTACAGTTGACACACATTTACCGTTATTCGGCCATAGGCTTTTGTCTTGGGAGTCGTTTCGTTTGCTCGCAAAACTTTTCCCTTAAAATTGCAACTAAAAAATAAGGCCACACCCCCCACACCTCCCAACAACAAAACAGTTGATACTACAAGGGTATATGTATCTATTATTTAATTAAAACTATTTCGAGTCCTCTTTCTCTTGTGCAGAGCTATGTGTGTGTGTGTGTGCGTCTAAATAATTTAATTGGACCATGTGTGAAAATTTGTAACAAATGACAAAACGAGGAGCCTTTTGGCAGGTACAAAACTCTCAGGTACAACTTTTCGAGTTGTTTTGGTGCAGGTGGGACGGTGAGGTGCTGTGACCCCCCAAACTTTTGATTAACACAAAATGGTGCCAGAACAGTTCGCAAAAACTAATTAGGGTCTTTGGGTCTCCATGGCAGTAAAGAGTTTAGATTTAGCTTCTATTTTTTTTGTGACAGATTGGCAAGGCATAGAAAATAATTTAAAACGAGAAGGAACGTGTGAGTCGCTTCTGGGGACGCGACTCTACTTATACCCGTACTCAGTCAGTATATACATTTTTGAGCATGATTTTTTAGAATTTTAGAACTAAAAAAAAAATTTATATTTTACATTTTTTTGCTACATTTGTTATCTACATCTCATCTACAATGTCTATTCTACATCTAACATGTAGATTGTACATGTACCATTTAGATTCTACATCTCCTTCGCTAGGGGTTGCTCGCGCACTGAACGCGGCAGATTGTGCGAGCGAGAAGGAAAATTAGTTGCGTTGTCGTTTGTTGGAGGAGGGGGAGGGGAAGCAACTGAAAATTAATTTCTTCATTCTGGCTATAATTATGATCCGATCTGATTCAGATTCGGCAATCTGGTAGATATGGGCATTCTCTACTATACTGCGTTTTTAGTTTTATCGTATCTTTAAAATTGTGGCTGCCACAGATTTTCGTCCTTTGTGGGGGCGGAAGGGGGCGGGGCGAAATTCTGAAATACACTTGTAGCAGTGTGATATTACATGAGTGTGGAAACCAAATTTGGTTGCCCTAGCTCTTATAGTCTCTGAGATCCAGGCGCTCATCGAGACGGACAGACGGACAGACGGACAGACGGACGGACGGACGGACGGACGGACAGACAGACATGGCTATATCGACTCGGCTATTGATGCTGATCAAGAATATATATACTTTATGGGGTCGGAAAATTTTCCTTCTCTGCGTTACACACATCCACTTTTACCACAAATCTAATATACCCCTTAACTCTTTTTTGAGTACGGGTATAAAAATGATTTTTACGCAAATAAAAATTTGATGAGTTCTACATTTATAATAAAAAAAATCTGTATCATTATTTTGCAGTAAAATCCATGGAACCGAATGTTAAACGGGTTTCGAGATGCAGTACCCCATTGAGTGTGAATTTATGCACGATTTTCGCTCAAACAATTTGCTTTTCCAATTAATTTCTCATTTAATGCGTAAATAATGAGTGCCGGTGCCTTGGGGTGCGTTTTTAAACGGCAAGTAGTCAGCCTGCGCATTCCAAGAAAAGCGTGGAACCACTTGATTTCCGCGCTGCTGTCGAGGTTAGTTTTCTTAGAAAATTTAAGTACTAGCAAAATAGTCCATGCCTCGCTGAATTCGAACTTACTTAAAGCAACAAATGAAAAATGAGAAAGCTTTGATTTATGCCAATGAAATGTGTTTAAATTTAGATGAACGTAAGAAAAGTTTGATGAACAAATTGAGTTAAATTTAAATCAATTGCGTGGTCTTTGTATTCAATGTCTTTTATCTATTAAGTGTGGGACACGTGCGTGGGGCAAAAAAAAAAACTGGAACTTGAATAGAATTTTGTACAGTGATATTAGTCGAAGATAGTCATGGCCCTGGGTTCGATATCTCCGACAAAAGTGTATAAGACTATATAATATAATTATTTACAATGTAAATGCTCTGCACATTTATTCCTTAGTTGCCTTATTGACTGGCACTTTGCCAGTGGCGGCACATGTTCCATGCGTTGGGGGTGTTCTATTGAGACATATCTCACTGTAATCTTCAGAGCATCTGAAATACAGTTGTTTTTGGGCAGCAGCATTAAATATCTTCCCAAGCTTGGAGCCATTCCTCGTAGGCTGCGTTTCCTTGAAATGAGTACACACTGTACTTTAGTTTTGCTGCTTCACTTTCGCTATTCCTTTAGCATTCACTCTACTGTATCGCATTTATTATAAATCTTCTTAGACTCGCTCGACACGCACTTTCTCCATTTTATTTAATTAGCTCAAAGAAAGCTTTGAAGCTTTCATTAACAGCAAACATACTTGAGTGGCACTCACTCTCTCTCTCTCTCTTTCGTTCCGTGTGTCTTTCGCTCTCCTGCTGCCTGCTTTTACAACCGCAGCAAAAGTGCAGCCACATTCACACTGCGAATATAATTAAGTTGTTTATCTTAATGCAAACATATCCCTGACACACTTCCACACACGAACACTAGCTCTCCCTTTCTCTCTCTCCCTCTCTCTGACTGCTCCTAGAGCTATGCTCTCACTGCAAGTAACTGTTAATTACAGCAAGAGCCTTATGCAAAAACCAAAGAAAAAGTAAGACAGAGAGAGAGGGGAATTAGCGTGCAAGAAGGAGTGGAAGAAGTGCCAGCCCAAGAAGTAGAGCAAGGTATATTGAAGCGAAGGTGAGGCAGTGGCCTTCATATATGTATCAGCCAGATACAGTTTCACTTGTGCAAGAAAGAGAATCAACGAGAGAGAATGAACCTGTTAAATATTAAGTAAACTACGGGCAGAGATTTACCTTCTCAGTCAATGCATCCTGTAACTGACAAAAAGGAGCAAGAAAAAGCGCAATGCAAACTTTCTATTTAAGTGAATCTTGGTTGGAGCCTCAACACACACACACTCCCCTCCCCTACCGCCATGCACACACATGTAAATGATGACTGCCTTTGCTCTTCCCTTACCCGCTCTCTCTCTTTCGGTCTTTCTGTTCTGTGGAGGGCTCCTACTCAAGGGCGCACTGCGCAAGCCAATTTAAATTTTAAAATAAGCACATTAACTGCATGCACAAGCGCCAAAACAAACGCCCAGCTACCGCCAGCCGCACTAGGCCCCTACGCAAGCTGCTGCTCACCCCACAACACACACACACGACGTCTCCGTTCTGACACACACGCGCGCATATTTAATTTGCTGCAGATTTACGCCTCCGCCGATGACTGTGTGCTCTGCCCACTGAGCTGCCTTTCACTCTCCCACTCTCTCTCTTTCTCTCGCTCTTTCTTTCTCTGCTGGCACTGCTACTTTGAGTACTGACTAAACGAGGAGGGAGCTAAAGTGCACGCAGGTTGCCTTTGCCTGTGCTCTTCAAGGGATTTCATTTAAGACGATACTTGGATTAAACCACAAAGTGAGAAGCATTAAACAGATACGTTTAATCAGTTCAAAAAATATGAAACATATCCAGCAGTAGGTGTATCATTAATCTTACCAAATAAATTTGGATTTCTGCTGCTGCGCTGTTTAGCCAGTACTTAAGATGCTGCTGCCTTGCCTGCTGCTGTTGTCCCCAGAATTTTCGTTTCTTTGCTGCTGCTGCTCCTCCGTCATGATACTCTTCTTGCTGCTGCTTCATCTTCTACTTTTTAATTCCTGCTCCATGTGGGCAATGCGTCACATATTACCCCACCACAGCTGCACGCCACCCCCACCCCCAACCCCCTTCACACGCATGAGCAAACTATCTGCAGAATTAGTGCAAGAGTGTGAGTATGCGAGAGTATGCTAATTGGTTCTTGCATTTCTGCGTTTCTCTGCTGCCTACTTTGCGGAAGGCGCAATTAATTTCCCCGCACACCACAGGGTGCCCTCAAGCCAAAAAGCAAAACAAAACAGCACACAAAAAAAAACGCAAGCATTTTTCATATTTCCATAATTTGATTCAGTTGTTTTTTCGGTCATTTCTTTTAATTATTTATCCATATCGGCTTATAGAAAAAGGTGAAACTAATTGTTAAATTGGTTTTGACAATTAAAAAAAATTTATAAACTAACTATTTTTCGGGGGCATATAATTAATTGCTAATCATTTTTCATTTTCATTTTAATTGAATTGATATTTATATAGTTGTTGCTGTTTTACTTCGATTAACTGCCATTAAACATTATAAATTCGATTAAATCGTTTTACTTTTAATTTTACCACTCTCTTTTGCATACAAAATGAAAAGATCTCTTACTTCCAATATAAAGTCTACGCGGTTTGTTGTTGTTGTGGTTGTAGAAAATTATTTAAATACTTATGGTTAGAGTCCATTGGCTTTGATATGCTGTCCAAAGGTTCTATTTGATTTTTTTTTTTTTTGGAAATAAAACAGGAAAACAATTTATGTACAATTAAATTTCATTCAATTGATTTCCTAACTTAAAATTTATAGTTGTTTATTTGTAACATTTTTAGCTTAATATAATATTAATGTGTGTGTTTTTGGAAGAGCTACGGCAAAATGTTTTTTGTTATTGACTTATCCGTATGTACAGGCATTTGATGGAGAAAAAGTTTCATTTCTGATGGATAAAAGATTTGTATTTAATAGAGATGTTTGTTTGTACTGATATTGATAGTATTAGAAACCAGGTGTGCTATATTACATAAATACGATCGTTGATATGTAAAATTCAACTAAAAAAAATGTTTCATAAATCAACGAAATTAATTAAAATCAAAAATCATAGCCATGTTTAAGCTATTGAAACGCTGTTTTACCATCTGATTTGTTTTTGAAAAGTATATGTATGTATGCCTAGTTTTAGATACATATGTTTCCTTTTTTTTTGTTTTTTTTTTGTTTGTTTAGGGTTAAGACCTGTAAGCTGCTGATTTTTTGGGTTTTTCTTGTCACTCGCTTTGGATGATTGTGCTACTGCATTTACATAGTTTAATTATTTATTGGGGAATCTATACGCTTTATATTTAAGGGGATTTCCAAAAATCACAACGACTTGAACTTGATCTAAAGCAATTATTGCATATCGTAGTATGGCAGAGATGGCTGAAAGAAGCTTAATCTAGGCTACAGTTTTTTGTATCCGTAATTTTATCCGATTTAGAAGGGTAGGATTATCATTGTGGGGCAGGGGCTTTCATTTCTAAGCTATATGTATGTTATGGTATGTATATGTATTGTATGTATAGACTACGTTTTTTTTAGGATACATTGCATTGTGCTCATTTAAGAAAATTTAACATTTTTCGCTTCCTCTCACACACATGACGCTTGCGAGGGGTGTTTAGGTTTAGGTTTAGGGGGGGATTTGATTTGATAATGGTTTATGGCTATACATATATTCCGGTTGCTGTGCAGGGAGGCAGCTCTGCCTCTCGTCTGCTATGTACAGGGGGGGTTACAACCTAGCAAGTGGGTTTTGGGGAATGCAAGGGATTGCCCGCCTAAAAATGGTTCACTCGACATACCTAATGGGTGTTTTTTTTTTGTTCTAATCTCCTCAGCTGATTGCTCAGTTTTAGTCATAGTTTACACAAGCCTTAACAACTAGATAGTTTTCCATTTACAAAGATTTATTATTGTTTCGGCAATAAGTAAAATATGTTTTAGGTTTATATACATATATAATTAAACAGTCTTGTTCGAGCCTCTAAATGTGTGTGTGTGCATAAAGGCATTGGTTAAATGCATTTCAGTTTGCTGAAAATAAAAGAAATTATTAAATAAAAAATGTTGAAAGAGTATTCTGCTATGTTAAGTTCCTGTTAAGTGGCAGTGTACTGTTTGTTTGAAATGGCAGTGGAAATTAACAGCAATGCATTTTTGGCACCGCCCAAAAAGTATGCTATGGAAATTGTACATATTTATGTGTGCCGCTCAAAAGTAAGCTATGCTTTTGTTTTAAACCACTTGGCTCCAGAGCTGTAGTACCACAAATGAACACATGGCAGTAGGGGTCGCCAGTGAGCAATGAAGGAGCAGAAAAATATAAATAAAAAATTTAGTAGCATAGAATTTTGTCTCTAAAAACTCTAAAAACTCAAAAACTCAATTCCAATTAAAATTAAAAAAAAAAAAATTATTACCCCTAAACCCACTTTCTACGCTTAAAGTTTCGACTTTAACCAGAAATTATGCGAACTATCTATACCTGCTTCTTCCTAAAAGTTTCATTTTTTAACTTAAAAGAAACTTGAATAAAAATTAAAAAAGCCAATTTGTTTGATTTTTCTTTTATGTTTTTTGTATTATTTTCTTTTTCTTCTGATATTTTGGTATATTTTCTGTTGATCTTCTCGCTTCAACGGTTTTTCTTTGTGTGTGTGTTTTTATGCATTTTTTTCATTGTATTTTTGTTGTTGTTTTAATTGTCTCTTAAAAACTAAAATAACAAACAAAATTAAAAAATAAAACTTAAAATTTACTTTATGATTAATGGATAATTTTATAGTTTAATAATACATTATAAATTAGTTGGTTGTTTTGCTTTCTTAGTTTTTTTGTTCATTAAATATATATATATATGTATATATATATTGTAGAATTTGGCAATCACATTGGAAAAACACTTAGGATCTATAAGTTCTTTGCTTTCGAGACGAAAAAGTTTTGCTTTTGAAACAGAGCGAAAACTGTTGTCATATGGCCACATCCATTCGATCCGTATCGTATCGTATCGTATATGGTATATAGTAATAATAAACCTATCAAGAAACTTTGGGCTCTCTTTTTTTATTATTATTATTATTATTATCTATTGCTTTGACGATGTACACGCAGGACAGATTTTTTGTTTTTTTGTTTTTTTTCTTTTGAATATAGAAGCCTAACTTATCCGACTATGACTAACTGTACAAAGGAAGGGCGGGCACGGGCACGGGCCTGAATTTACATGAGAAAGTATCTACGCTGGCGACAGACTGGCAGCAGCAGCAGCAACAGCATTATTATTGTCCAGCTGTGAGGTGACTGTGGAGCAGGCGCTGCTGTTGTTATTGGGACTGGTGGCCTCAGCGCTACTGCTGCCGGATGCATTGCCCGCTGCCACGACCATCATGGGCGTAGCTTTACCCCTGCCCCTATTCCAGCCAAAGCTCAGAGCTGAACTCAGTTTGCTGGGCTGCTTGGGCTGTTGTGTCTGAAGCTGCTGCTGCTGTTGGTGCTGCGGCTCTGCCAGATCGTAGTCCTGTCGTCCAATGGAACTGGCGGGCGTATGATGACTGTAACCGGAATCGGAGCCAAAGCTCGAGTCGCCATACGGATGACGATAGTCCCCGGTGCTGGTGCTGTTGCTGGTGTCATAGGGCACTGCTCGTGCCTGATAATTGGCGGCGGCGGCGGCACTCTCATAATAATAGTTGGCATTGTACATGGGCTCGGCATAGCCATAGGCGGGCTCCTGATGCATCGGCGCCGCATGAATGCGATGATGCTGATGCTGATGGGCTGCCAGGCGACGATCCACTATCCGTGGCTGTGTTCGTGCCCGCATGGTGGCGGCCATCAGGCCGCTGGCACTGTTCGAGGGATACTGCTGGGATGCCGTCGGATAGCGAATGCGTTCCCTGTAGATGGTCGAGAGTGGCGGGACGGCGGCCTTGCTCAGCTGCGCATTGATGCGGTTCCGTCGCTCCACCTCGTGCTCCAGCGTATTGTAGAACTGTGGCGCTGTCGAGCGGGCCATGTAGCCGAGGGACATCAGGTTGCTGCGGTTGTCGTACAGCGGCGCCAAGTCGGCGATTTCTGCCGTCGAACTGCTGTTATTCAGATCCTGATCCTGGGCACGTTGCTGTCGCGTGCGTGGCGTGCGTCGTGCCAGCAGCAGTTCGCTGTTGTTGTTGTTGTTGTTGCTGCCAGAGGAGGCTGTGGCCGTGGAGGCATCCTGGCCCGTCGACGACCCACTGCTCAGCACGCTGTGACGCTCCTGTGGCGCCTGTTGCAGCAGGCTGCAGCTAGTGCTCTGGCCTCCACCCTGTGTGCCACTGCCACCGGCACGCTCATGATACGGCGTGGCTCCCGGGCCCGCTGTGGTGCCTGTTGCTGCCGCTGCTGTTGCTGTTGCTGCTGCTGCTGTTGCTGGCTCCTTCTGGAAACTGCATTCGCCGGGCAGCGATAACTCATCCTCGGCGAAATCATCATCGGAATGCATTGGTGGCTCTGATTCGCCATCCGAATCGACGCGCCCAGGTCCCAGCTCCTCGTACACATTGTCATTGGAGCGATACGGATCGGGTCCGGGCGATGAGCTCACGAGGAAGGGTGGCGACCGTGTCATGGGATAGCCGCTGGGATAGTGAATGCTTTTGCCTTGCAGCAGCTGTAATGGCAGAAAGGGAGAATGTCAGTTAGTAAAAGGGTTGCACAAAAAGGGGCCGCTGGAGGGTAGGGAGGCAACTTTCACTGTCACTTTTACTGGCATTTTTTTTTCTTTTCTTTTGCTGTTTCGCGTAAGCCGCTTTAACCCTTGGGCAGGAGGAAGGGAGGAGGAGTAAAGGAGTAAAACTGCCACAAGAAATGAATAATAAATAGGCGGCCGCACGACCCACTGAAGCAGCGAAAGTAAAAAGTGGAGAGAAAAAAGTGAAAAGTTCTCTCGCCCATCTCGAGGCCACAAAACTAATTGAAAGCGTTGGCTATATATGTATGTAGTACCTGTGTTATATGACCTCCTATACTTTTGCTTATTTTTATTATAATTATTTTCCTCCATATAAATAAAAAACCCATTGGTGAAATATAATTGTTGTACGATCTTGGTGCGAACCACACTATTGAAACAGGTTTCGGGTTTGGCTTAAACATTGATTGTAATTATTATTAATTTTAGATAAAAACACCACAAACATGTTTGTATTTGGGGGGGGGCTTGGTATGACATGACTGGGCACTGTGCGTTTGTCCATTCGTTTCCAGGAGTAATGTAAGCATAACAATTGGACCTGAAAATTGGGGCCTATTATATAAAAAAACATGGACCCTCGAACCCGGCCCCGCCGTCTGTTAAATGGTCAAAGATGGCGTGGTCGCTGCGGACCAGAACCAGGGCCGAACAATAGCCGCCCCTGTGAATAGGAAGTCATGTTTTCTACTTTATTGATACTCACGGACCACCTGCACATAATTGGATGGGGGCGGTTCATGGTCAGCGACCACACACTTTGTATAATTAAGCCGGAACTTTTGGGGCCTAGGACTTTGGATTGTTAGCTTAAGTATATCATATTTGGGATTGCCTCCATAATATTTTTTTAATTATAGAATTTTTAAATGGCTCTCCTCACGATCCATCATTCAAGGAATATTTTTGATTTTTTTTCCAGTTCCTCTTAAATAGTATGTTTTATTTTCTTACTTTCCTTGGAAACGTCAATGTTTCGACCAATATCGGAGAAATCCATTTTGTGCTTCTCATGTCCATGGGTAGAGTACACTAAACGCCTCCACCACACTTGGGGTTTATACTAAATTATAATACTAATTACAATCATGTTAAGACCAAACACCACAGCGCGAAACTTGTTTGTGCCCATTTTCCCCCGTCACCGGGTTTTTTTAACCGCGGCGGATTATCACTGGCTGTATGTACTACTATATATACAGCACGGGGGAATATATTAGGCAGATTTCCACACCCTGGCATAGCCATGCTAAAGGAGCTGTTTATCAGACAATAAAATAAACACACACTTCACATGGTTGCGCCCCTCACTCCCTCTCTCTCACTCTCTTTCTCTCATAAAATATGGCAAAAAAAAAAAATATATGAAATAAAAATTGAAGCAGGGCAAGAGGAAGACCATAAAGAAAACACGTTTTTAGAGGGCAGGACCCAGCTCCAGCTACAGCTCCAGCTCCAGCTCACTGCCAAAAGCACGAAAAGAAATGCCAGAGAAGAAAAAAAAAAGCCCTCCAGGCGTCAGAGTCGTAAAATATTTAGGTACACAAAAGGAGCTGAAATTAAGCCTCACAAAGAGTGGGAGAGAGAGAGGGAGAGGGAGGGAGTATATATACTACATTCATATAGAGGGCATTCATATATCTTTATGAATATGTATATGTCCTTTTATGTATGTCCGTCCCATGTCAAGTTCAAGTGTAAATTGAGGCGTACAATGGGGGAGGGGCATAAAGACAGCAAATAGTAGGACACATCAATGAATAATATGCACAGCAAAAAGGGAAAGACAGCAAGGGGGATATGGATATGGATATCAGCGCTGTAGCGTTGGAAGGAAATGTGGTTTCATCTTACAATTGAATTGCATGTGACAGGATCAAGAACAGGCCAAACAGGACACGGCACACAGGCCAAACAGGACACAGCACAATGACAATGACAGTGCACTGTTTTGACAGCATTTGTCGTAATATTTGTCAAAAGGAAAAGGGATATGGGGCAGGGGCAGGGACTGGTGTATGGTGTATAAGGGGGGAAGATACTAACCTCTGAATGATGCTGCTGATAATGATGATGATGATGCGGCAACTGCTGATGATGCTGCTGATGATGATGATGATGGCGATGCATCACCAGCGGCCGATGATGGCCCAAATGTGCATCGGGATCCTCATACAGCCCATGATGATGATGATGATGATGATGGGCTGAGCCCAAAGTACCGCCGCCGCCCAGTGGCATGGCACCAGTGAGTGGTCCCCGTGTGGGTGTCTTGCAGGGCAGCAGATTCTGCACTTTGCGCTTGTTTCTGCAAAGAAAATCAAGACAGATATTGATTAATAAATGTGCCAAAAGAGAGATAGAGAGAGAGAGATAAATGATGATGATTATAATGATTATAATGTACTTCGTGGAGGCGGCGTAGAGAGCGGCTAATAGAGCCATAAGTTTCTGGCTTGGTCCAAGCCAAAGGAGATAAATCGATTTGTAATGACCAAAAAAAGGACACCAAAGCCAGGAGGCAAGGCAGCCTGCTTGATAAATGTCAGGTAAACAAGCCACGATTTTCCATGCCACTGCGCGCGCCCAGAAACATTTGCCCCAAAACAATTTGATTAATAAAGAATGCGCGGCAAATCCCACAGCCCCAACCCCCCCACACACACACACACACACATAAAATTCAATTTAAATGAGCACAAAGCGTCAAGAATGTCAAAATGATGTTGGGAGAAGTCTCTGAAGGAGGCTGCGGCAGCAGGAGCAAGCCTCAGAAGGAGCAGGGAAATCCTCTCAGTACTTGGGGACAACCGCGTGCCATGAAAATAATGAACATAATTAAGTGTTGCCCATGGCAAAAAGACAAAACAGACAACCTTGACGATGCCTTCAAGTAACCGAAGAAAAACATTCCACTTGCCTTGCCTTGCCTTGCCTGCTCCTCATGTGGCAGGCATAAGCATAATGAAAAATGTGAAATTAAATTGACGCCACACCAGGCCAGGACAGGCCAGGCCACACGTAGCAGTAAGACGCTTTGGCTGGGCTGCTGGGGGCTTCCCCCAGGATGAGCTAACATCCTTGTAATGTCTTGTAGGTAAACATGTTGCGATGTCAAGACGGAAGTCGCTCGTAAAAACTCTCAAACAGAGCGCGTAGAGAGTGAGTGAGTGAGAGAGACAGAGAACTTGTGGCATCTGATTGTTGGCTGGGCGGGGGCGGTACATTAAAAATGCTTACCCACTTTTAGGCGTATTTACCGGCCGAGGAACCAAAAGAAAAGGTAGCAAAAAAAATTATAGACGAAGATTGGTTTACCTTTTCGAGAGGCTTTTTGGAGAAGAAGTTGTGGAAAAAAATTGTTGGAATTTTGTAAGAAGAAAAACTTTTTTGCGCATAAAAGGGGTAGAGCTTATAGAAGAATATCTGCAGAAAAAAAAGCTTGGCTTCTTAAGCTATCAGTCGGTGGAAATCTTCATGTATGAACTTCAAAATTTCTAGCTTTAAATCGCTTTGAATGGCGTCGTAACAAACTCAATCTGATATTGCATAATATGCCTGATTCCCTGAAGAATATAAATGACAGCACACACACACACAGCCACACCCTCCAACCCCACACACACACACACACATCGGCCACTGAGGACCTCTCACATTACATGTTAGCCTACTCATAGCTAAGGAGAGAATGAAAGATGCTGCCTGCTGGTGCTGCTGCTTGTTGACATTGACTCGAGACTGAGACTAAGACTGAGAGGGGAGAAGAAGTAAGAGACTAAGATGGGTAGAAGGAGGCAGAGACTAAGATGGGGAGACGTAGGCAGAGACTAAGAGTGGAGAAGGCGGCCAAGACAGTGGCTGAGAAAGAAGCCAAGACAGGACTGCCGCCTGTTGTCTGTCTTGTAAAATATTCTTAAAAGTAAATTAAATAATGTGGCATGCCGCACAAGCCAAAGCACTTCTCTTCCTACTCTCTACTGTTCGGTGTGTGTGTGTGTCAGTGTGTGTGTCTGCCTCTTGACTTTTGTGTGTGCCTCATTTCATTTCATTTCACTTACGAGGCGTAAAAACCAAATCAAACTTAGAGAGTGGGAGGATTACAAGAGAGAGTGAGTGAGACAGGGGGCATGTGTTTGCTTAACCCTTTGAGAGAGCGAGAGTCTTGTTTGATTTCTAAGCGTTATGGCCGAACGAGCAGGCAGGCAGGCAGGCAGGCAGGCAGGCAGGCTGACTGGCATCCCCCAGAGTGTCGTACAATTTGGCAAGAAAGTAAACCATTTGTATGCTCGATATATGCAAAAGGGTTGGAGGGGGTTGGCTGCTCTGTATGTTTAAGGGATGGAAGGATTGTGTGTGTGTGGCAGCATCTTAAACTACCTTTTGGGCGTTTGGGGGCCTGCCCCGGGGAACACACAGCAGACACATAAGCAATTTACAATAAAAAGTAGCTGCTGCTGTTGCTGCTTCTGCCACAGAAAGGGGCAACAATGTTGTACGACGGTGAAGGTGGTTTGTGGGGTAGGGAATTCCTTTCTTTCTTTTTTCTTTTTTTGCCAAAGTTACGGCTTGCCAAAGAAGTGAAATCTTTTATTTATGAACTCTGAACTGCTGAAAGTTACACAGGAGAGGAACAGAGACTCTCTCACTTTTGGGGGTTGCACACGGCGAAAAACGCAAAGCTCCTTCGGCACGTAAAAAAGTAAAAACTACAAAGAATAAAATAAAGGAAGGGAAAACACTGGCAGCAGAGGTATTCCCCAGAAAGTGTACGAGAAGTGGAGTGGAGTGGAGGCCTCGTGTTAAGACTTTGATATGGAAATTGCATGCAAAAATCTGCATAGTTGTAGCACGGAAAGGGGGTGGGCAGGGGAAAACAAGGGAAAAAAATTAAACAAAAAGGCAAATAACAGCGCAAGAAAATTGATTTCCAAAATTTTTTTTTTTTTTTTCTGTTTCGAGTAAAAGGAAATCAATATTTGTCGATTTTTTTGGTACTTAAATGAAACGACAATTTTCTGTATATATTACTAGTTTTTCTTCCAGTTTTTCTGCACTTAAACTTTATAAACAAACATTTGCTTAGGCCCATAATGATGATTTCTGTTTAAAGTTGCAGTCAAAGAGGCACACACAAACAGACAACCGCCAGCCGCCAGTGCCACTTTGGTGGTCTCTAAACCGCTCAAAAATCTACCCCACTACACCCGCCTGTCTCACGCTGCTTTTGACCATTGCACAACGACTGAAACGCCGCAGCCAGTTGACTGCAGTTGACCAGCAGCCAGTCCCAGGCCGCCCAGTCAACAAACAAACAAAACTTGACCGCAAGACCTAGCCGCAAATGCAAGACTCTGAAAAGGCATCAAATTACCAGAGAGAGAGAGAGAGGGAGAGGTGGAGAAGAGAGGCAGAAAAGTGCTACAGCTGTTGACAGCCGCCAATGAGTCAGTCACATGGCAACACTGGTTGGTTGTTCTCCAGGCAGCATTTGATTAAAAATATGCCCAAAAGAAAGTGAAATTGCCAGGGAAACAAATGGGGGGGAAAAGAAAGAAAAAAGGTAAATGAAAATGAAAATCTCTCCCTCTTATAATAAACAGAAATTTTGATTGTTATTGCATACTTGAGGGCGGCCTTACATACACATATGTGAGACAGACAGGCGTGCAGAGGAAAGAACTCCTTCAAGGGAGCAAAATTAAATTGCCATTCTGATGAAATTGATTTTATTTATTTAAGAGTCAGAAGATGTCATAGCTTCTTCCTGCTTATGAGTGGGGCTGTGGCCTGTGTACCTTCATCTTTCTCATTTAATATGAATGAAACATCATTTAGCAAACAAAAAGGCCTCGACACGTCACGACTTGACTTTGGAGTTTGTATTTAACGAGCGTATTTTGTTTCCTGCCCCTGGCCACCCACTTGAACCATAATTTGTGTGTGTGTTGCGAATATTTATATAAATTAAGCATATATTTATTTATTGAAATATTATTAACTGGCGACAATGTTAACAATTTTAATGACAAGCGCTTCAGATTTCCCTGGTTTTTTTTTTTTTTGTTGCCACATGTTGCACATGCAACATTTTCGTGTAATTAATAAAGTTACCAATATGCAAACATTTGCCAGCGAGAGCGAGAAAGTGTGTGTGTGTGTCTGTCGGGGTTTATTAAAATAATTAAGGTAATTATGAGTCCCAGAGATTGTTGGCAAAGTGAGCGAGTGAGGGGTGTGGTGTGCTGCAGTGCGGTGTGTGGTGTGCATCATAATAAATGCAATTTATGGTTTGAATTTTATATGATAATCGTTTTTGGAGCCAAGCACAGATCTCTGCCATCGGGGGCATTTTAATTAAATATTTATCAAGAATTTAAAAGCCATAAAGCGGCCAGGGGGATACGAGTATAAAAAATATATATATACATATATAAAAATATATATAAAATAATAATGCCACAAAAATGCATAAAGAAATGGCATTTCTAGCAATTTGGCTGCTTGAACACCTGGCTCTCGAAGACTATGAATGCCAGAGCATACGCGCTTTGAGGTACTGAGGTATCGTAGTGTCCTCGACTGCTTTGGCTGGCGGCGCCATATAAAAGCATTATGATTATTTGATTTGTATTAGGCTAGAAACCAAAAATATAAATAAAATTAGTTGCTATTTTATTTATGAGTTTTTCCATAGTTCTTTCGTTTCTTGTGCTTCTCTTTTTGGGGGCAGGACACGCAACACATAAAAGCACAAATAATGTGCCACATCATAAATGCCACAGAAATGGCACACACACACACACACACACACACACACACAGGGCCCTATAGTAGAGTGGAGGGCGGGTCCAGACACTTAAAGCTTTTCCTTTCGCCTAAACGCACACATACAAAACATCCATACAGACACACACACACACATATGCATAGATTACTATGTAATAAAGATGCCCGTTTGTGATGGTTGTTGTTGTTTTTTTGCCTTTTGTTTGCCTCAAAAATGATGAAGCACAAGAGCAACATTCACGCACCCCTCTTCCCCACTGCCCCTGCCCCTTCTCCACTGTGCTGTTGTCCATCTCTTTCTGTTGATGCCTCTTGCTATCTCTCTCGCTGGTGCGTGCCCGTGCGGTCAGCAGAACTTTAATGAATATGTATGAAAATCGCTTGTAGCACAACTGATGCTCAGGACCCAAAAACACACACACACATACGCGCCCCCAGACCCAGCCCCCTGCCCCTCTTGATGCTGCTGATGGACAAGAGTCCCATGAATATTTTTGCGTCCAAGTTTTTCGGGGTTCTGTTGTTGTTTGCTGAAGCGAAAATCGATTTTGCGGAAGACAGAGAAAACAGGGAGAGAAAAAAACTGTGTGTAACATGTTACTTCAACACTTGTTGATGTTAATGAGCAGCAAAGAAAAAGTTCTCTTCGCTTTACTGTGGGGCGGGGAAATCAATACATGTGGGGATAGCTAGTGGCTTTTGGCTGGTGAATAATGATGGTACTTGTATTTTAGTCGGGGTTTATTTTTAAAACATTTATGAACACTCAAAAAGCTGAATAGAAGAAGATATTAGCAGGAGGTTTCCCCTTTAAATTGCTCCCTGCATAAAGCGTTACCAATCCATTTTAGGGATCTGTAAAGTATATTGCTTGATGATACCACAAAATCCTTCAGCACTAAAAAGTGCTTTAATCAAAAAATTTAACCCATTAAAGTCTCTGCTATAAAAAAAAGTGTTGAGCCTTAGCTTTGGCCTTGTCCCTCTCTTGGCTGTGTTCGTGCCTTTGCCTATAACTGTTATCTAGAACTGGCATCTCTCTTTCTCTCTCTCTCTATCTATCTTCTTTGCTCTCCCTTACTCCACTGCGGTGCTTGCAAAAATCTTTTGCAGCTTTTACTCCACACTGAATTACATGCAAACAATGTCCAGAGTTTGTTTCGCTCTCTCCCTCTCTGTCTACCTCTCTCTTTCCCATTAGTATTTTTTTTGCGTTCTCCTTTTGTGGTTTATTTCTGCAGCAGATTTCATTTCGTTTGCAATCTCATGGTGTGTGTGTGTTTTTTTTTTTTTTTTTTTTTCCTTGAGACCGTAAAAGTAAATTGTTTTATATCTTTTTTGTGTGTGTGTGTGTGTTTTTTTTACCGCCCAACCAAAAGTTGATTTGTTTTTTTGTGTGTTGTGTGTGTGTGAGCCATTTCTCACGTGTTTTTTCTTGTAGCTGCTGCAGCATTTATTTAAAATTTCAATTTAATTTAGTTTCGGGTTTTAAGTGCACCCACACAAATACACACACTGAATGCATGCATATATATATATACACACACATAAATATTACATGCATACATTCCCATATTGAGGTCACTGTGTGGCTCCGCTCGAAAGTAGACTACATTAATTCTCGTTTGGCTCTGCTACAACTATCTCCCTCACTCATTCTCTATCTCCCTCTCTCTCTCTCTCGCTCTAACGGTAGGGATAACTTTTACAAATGGATTTTCATTTCTTTCGTGATTTTTTTGTTGCACTTTTGTTTTACATACATTTTTGATATAGTTTTATAATGTTTATGCGCACATTGCCTGCTGCACATTTTTTACATGGCGCGAACATTTATGCGGCTCAACACTTTTATCCTTTCACCCTACTGCCCTGCCCTTGTGGGGCAATAAGTGCATAATGCTTTGAGCTCCCTCTCTCTCTCTGATTTAATTACGTTTTTTTTTTTGGTGTGCGATTTAAAAACGTTTGTAAATGCATCATGGGTATTTTAATCAATTGATGAAAAGCTTATGGAGAGTTATTTACTTAATTTAAATAAAAGAAATTGCATCGTTAAGATATTTACGAGGGCTTAAAGTTGTTTAAATTTGTTTTAAATACACAATTCATTGACTATTTGATGGAAAGCATTGAGCCAACAGTTTAAATGATGAAAACTATTATTGCCTTTGATGTAAGCTGTGGCTAAATGGTTTTTGTAGCTTCAATTGTGGCTGAAAGATCTCTATCAACAAAAAATATGCTGAATAATGAGGAATATTTTATTTCACAGATTACTTTTATGGCTTCAATGATATAAATAATTGTTTTAATTATTAGAAACCTTTTCTTTGAGTTTTTTTTGTGAATGCAGCACTTGAGTTAAAGCGTTTCTTAAACTTGATTTCATTCCTAACCATTTCTCATCTTAAGATCTCTGCTCCCCTCACTCCAAAACTACTCCACTGCTCTTCCGTTCGTATCTCTACTCAGTTATCTGGCAGCGCAAAAGTTTTTTTTTTTTTTTGCTGCACATAAATCATAAAAGCAAAAGAGCAACAACATGCCACATGCAACATGTTGCATGGCAATGGTTAACGCCTCCCCAGCACAGAGGAGAGCTTTCAGCTGCTGCGGTAAAAGTTGCCGGGGGACAGACAGACAAGCCGCGATAATAGTAGTCAAGACAAAGCCACACAAGGCGTTGCATGGAATGGAAGAATGTTTTGGGTAGGAGGGGGAATGGGTATTGGATCCCCGCATTGGATTGTGTGTGGCCCCAAGACCATAATTGAGTCATTGTAGGTGCATATACATACATACATACATACAACTAGCACTAGATATTGTATCTTTTACTTACTTCCAAACGAACAGCGACGAGATGAGAACAATCAAGACCAATAGCAGCGAGAAGACCGCAATCATGGCCGAGGTGGCCAACGATTGACTGCTGTACAGGCTAGCATCCAAGATCTGCAAATGAACAGAGAGAGAGAGAAACTTTTGGGGTTAATAAAAAGTAAAAGTTAAATGTTAATGCGATGGGCGGATGGGGGAGCAGTAATGTAAATCAACGTTTCAAACTCAAACACAAAGCCATTTTGCATATAAACGAAAAAGCAGAAAACAAACCAAAACAACAACAACAAAAAGACACGAAAGAAAGCCACAGGAAAACACTGACTGCGCTGAATGAGGGAAAAATACTAAATGGACGAGGAGGAAATATATTTTGGTAAATATGCCTAACGAAATGCAAACAAAAGCGCAGTGCACGCGACTTGGGCTGGCTGTTAACCTTTTCCTGTTACTTTGGCTTCTACTTTGGCTCCGCAAGAGAAGCGTGGCGAGTATGGGTTAGAGCCAGCCAGGCCAAGAAGCTAGAGTGTAGGCGTTTACCTTCTTTTTTTTTTTTGGCCAGAGACCTTACAGTAAATTAAGGTCATCGTCGCTGTGGATAAAGCGAGCAATTTGCCTTTTGAATTTATGCTTGAACATGCACAAAACAACAAAAAAGTTACAACAAAACAACTCAAGGATGGGCAGGAAAATATGTACATTTGATAAAAGAAAAAAATTAGCTGAGATTTTTATGGGAGCTGCAAGAAAAGCGTGGGGTGGGCGGGCATTATATGTATGTATATAACATAAGCCAAACAACATGGAAAATGCTTTGAAATGTCGGAAAAAAATATACCCAAAAAAAAGCAGCCTTTACCTTTTGAATATTTATGTCTTTGCCAACGAGTTTTCTCATATTTCAAATCAACAATGACAACAACAACAAAAATAACTATCATTCCAACAAAAACTTTTTGCTTATCAGAGGGGCAGCGGCAGCGACAGAGCGGCCGCCTCTCACCTGTCGCCTGTCAAAAGAAAGAGATAAACTGACTTTTTGTTTCATTCCCCCCCCCCCTCACACCGTAGATTTGAAATATTTTTGCATTAAGTAGTTTTATTTATTTAAATTGTGTGTTTGTTTGTTGCGCAAACTGGCGTTTTGACCCCAAACTTTTGGTGGAAAAAACAGTCGGGTGAGGAGAAAAAAAAAAGGGAAAACTCCTCCACAAAAATGCACCTGTCGTTGCACAGCAGAGACAAACGCAGCATAAATCACTCAAAAACATTGAAAATATATATATGTATATTTTTTCGGGGAAAGAGAGATGGAGAGCGAGAGAGAATGCCAAACGCACAGAGGGAATATTGAGGTCAAACTTTGACAGCTGTGCAAATAATTTCGCCAGCGATTGTATGAACGAGTATCTGGAGAGTATCTGTGTGTGTGTGTGTGTGTTTACTCAACTGGTGCTCTTTGTGCTGCATTTATGTGTATGTGGGCTACTCTTTAATTTATAATGCATTTTGTGCATTTACTAATTTATTAAATGCATCTCTCGCTCGGCTTTGATTTATTTGCCAGGCACAAATACGCACAAACAGAGAGAAATACGAATGAGTAGATGCGTACAAATATGAAATGTGGGACACACACAGAAAATGCGGAAGCATCCATCGTTTTCCAATCGCCGCTTATCGTCCCAAGAAAGGGGATTCTGGCATATAATTAATCAAGCGCTTGCAGCAAATATAAATATTATTATTAATATTTCAATGAGAGAGAGAGAGAGGGGGAAAGGTCTCTGCTCTCCCACCGCCTAAAGTCACAGATAAGCCATAAAAATATTGACATCCAGCAGCCGTTGCTCCAAATGGCGAAATTGTTTAAACTATCGGAAAAGGCAGGGTGGGGGGAGACACACACAATAGCAGTACCAAAGGGGAGTGCCATAGGGGGGGGGACGACAGACGCTTATCACAATCCAAAACCGAAACGAAAGAAATTGTTTTGTGATATTTTGAAATCCATTTTCAAAGACAAATCGCTGAGACAGACGACTCTCAAGGCAAAACCAAAATACAAATAATAATAAATTAAACAATTATAATGCGGCATGTGTTGTGTTGCGTGTGTGTGTGCAGTGCAACGCCAAAAGCTGTGTGGCAGCCCCAGAGGAACTGAGGAACAGACGAACAATGCCCCAATGCTCGTAATCAAATTGATTAATGAGACCTGACGCCAGTTTTTCCTTATGCTTCTCATTCCATATTTTTTTTTTGGCTTTTTTTATTGTATGTGGAGCAGTGGAGCATTTGGGAGACGCTGAAGGGCAAATGTATTGATTTAATGTGGTATTATGTATCGTTAGATGATGCGGATAATCAAATGATGCCCCCAAATTCGATCTATCAAATCCGCTTTAAATATTGATTATTGAAAATATTGTGCAAAATAAAACAATTTATTTTAAGTAAATCAACCAAAATTTAGAGCTTTCTCCTAGTTATCGATAAATAATCGAAAAATAAATGATTGAGAATTATAATTATTATAATTATAATTTTGTGCATTATTATAATTATAACTATTATAATTATTAAAAAGATATTTTTCTTTGCAGATTTGCCAATTATTATTCGATTTCTGGTAAGTTTTTTTTGATTATTATTCATTTCGATTATTTTACCGATAAAAGTTTTTAATTTTTCCTGCCTCACCCCACTATCAAATAAAATGACAGCAGCTTAGAGACCTGCTCTCAGTCTGTCTGTCCCTCCCCCTGCTGCCTATCACACCATCTCTTACACTCCCGAATAGACCAGACCCGGGACCCCATTGATTCATATAGAAATCACACTTGCGTCATTCAATTTTTGTGTGTGCTTGTGAAAAAGAAAAACGAAATAATTTTCTTTTGTCTAAAGATTTCTCATGCTTCTCTCACACACACGAAACGATTTTCCAAGTCAACTTTGAACTGCATTGTGCGTGTCCGTGTGTGTGTGTGTGCGTTGATAATCAATAAATCTAAAATACATGCACAACGAAATGCAGCGTTTACCTATTTGTAATGCTCATATATATTTTTTGGGGGCAAGCAAATAAATGAAGCGGGGGGGGATAGATTGGGAAGCTTGTAGACATTGCGACAGTTGTCGATTGCTGTGTGCTGTGGCGTGTGGAGTGCCAGAAGCTGCCACCGAAACGCTTCCAGCTGCCTCAGAGCCATGCCCCTACGGATTAACCCAAAAGATAAAATACAGAAAGAAAGAAACTGAAAAAAAAGTTGTAAGCAAACAGAGTCGCATTATCGATAACAACGAGAAGGCGGCGGCAGAGTTACAGTTGCTCGACCACACCCCCCACTCCCGTTACAGATAAGCAGTGCAACACAGTAGGCCGCGGACCCTACTGTATGATTGAAGGCCTTCCATCTGGCTCTAGGCATTCCATAAATTAAATTAAATAAAGAGAAAAAAAAAATAGGCAAAGGAGTAGTAGGCAAAAGGTAAACATACACCCAGATAGCGATAGCAGCTTTTGAACGATTTATGGTAGGAAAAAACAAATAAAGGAAACGCAAACAGAGACAGCAGTCGGCAGTCAGCAGTCAGACGACGGGCAGTGCTGCCAACTTGGCCGATAAAATAATTAAGGCGCTGCTCCAGGAAAACAAAAACAAAATCCCACAAGAAAACCCATTAGCTGGAGGGGACCGCACTCTGGGATAAATGTAAAATTATGGCCTAAAGTTTAAGCCAAAAGAATAATAATAATCGTAAAACAAACAAAAGGAAAAAGTGCTTACAAGTGCGCGCAGAATGTAGATTAACGCAGCCAGTGTTGCATAATGTTTCTTACTTTTATGTGTATGTGTTTTTTTTCTTTTCTTTTTAATCATGAAAAATCAGCCAGGCTTTTTTTGCTTTCGCCTTCAAGTAGGCCATAAAGTGTGAAGGTTTTTGTGCTTGGCTTTGACCCAATTTTTAAAGGTGCATAAAACCCACACAAAAGACGGGGGGGGCACAACAAAGTACGGGCAGAACATTTTCTGCCCAGAGTGGAGTCATCAAAATCAGTCGTCAAACTGTGGTTGTTGTTGCTGTTGTTATTTTTGAACCTATTGAAAAGTTCTCTCACCGCTCTTTTGGGCGCAGAAACTTTAAAAGTTAACAACTTTTCGTTTCTCTTGCAAAAGTCAAACGGTTGATGGGAGAGAGAGCCGCGCGGCAGCGTTTTCATTTTCGTGCCTGATGAGAAAAACACAAAAGTTTTTTTTCTGGCCCCCCCCACACACATAGACAAAAGCCTGATGATGTTGCGTTGCAACAAGCACGTGCCACTTGCAGTGCACAGAGCAGTGCAGTGCAGACAACAGCTAAGGCAACTTTGGCCGTTGCTTTGATAACATGGCAAAAGTTTTTCAAACATGCGATGTGTGTGTGTGTGTGTGGCTGTTGTGGCTTCCCCTGTTTTTTTTCTCAACACTGCTACTACATCCTGTAAGCCCTAACAACTTCGATTTTCATAGCACGTGCATATCCGAGAATCGAGCTGTGTGGTATGGTGTGGCAGGGTGAGGTGGCGCTACCTGGAGCTTCCCCAAAACCCCATTGGTGTAACCACTTGGCAGTGCAATTGTTTGGAAACAGCTTCGTGATTGAGGGTACCCCTCTGCAACCCATAAGATGCGAAGGGGGGGCGTAAGCACCATCATCATCATCTAAAGGGTGTAATGAGTCGAAGAAAACTTCGCTGGGGGTTGTGTGGGGGTTTCGATTGGAAAAAACTCAAAGAAAATAATATAAAAATTGCTAGCAAAAGGCTTAAAGTTGGAAAGCCTTTAATTTTGAAACTTTAAAGGGGATATAAATAAACATTTAATATATTGCTCTTGGCTAAAACCAGAGAACCACAGAGCGCACAACTAACTTTTATTTACAGCTTTAATCCTTAAGTATCATTTATTTCTCTAAATATTCTCAAAAAAAAAAAAACGGGAAATAAATATTTGTATATTATATAAAATATACATTTTACTCTCTGACTGGCAACATTTTTCATTTTCATTCCTCCCTCAGCCCCCTTTATCATTCTGTAGTTTTTCCTGCTTCTTGCTGCTGTCTGCAGCTGTGTCTGGCGATGTCAACTGTAAACAACATCAACACTAAACCCCCGGAAAAACAACCAACAAGAATGAACGAAAAACCCCAAAATCCAAGAACTTGCCCATACGCCCAAAAGCAGACTACAGACTACAACAAAAATTGTTGTGAGATAGAGATAGAAAATATATATGTAGCTAAGGAATTTCGCATTCTCACGACATTTGATATCAATGTCATGCTATTTGCCACACATACCCTATCGCCCCACCAACCCTGTCTGTGGGCCACACACACTCTTTAACCCCCCCAAAAAAAAGTAACCCCAAGCCATCATCATCTTCAAGAGTTTTCGTCGTTGTCGTTGTCGTCGTCTTCGTCGTTTTCCTGCTTGCTGCTTAAAGGAAAAACGTTGAAATATTTCTTTGGGACAAATGTGCAAAAAAAAAAAAAAAAGGATTATTTCTGCCACGCCCATTGAAGCAAATCAGAAGCTGCTTGTCAAGGATTTTTTCTATATATATGTATATACCAGCCGCCCTGCCGGTTGCCTTCCTTCCTTCCTTCTGCAGACACATGTGAAATTTAATTTCACTTTGGAGCTGCTTCCGCCTTTTGCCTTCCTTTAAAGGTTTTCCGCGTTTGTCCGCCCCTCACGAGTTTGCCTCTTTTTTTCCTTCTTCAAATTGGCACAATTCCTGCTTTTCCTGTCATTCAATTTACCCACACCCACCCACTGCCCTCACCCCTGCCAATGCTAATCCATTAAATTGGATTCGAATGCTTTGATTTTTTTCTGATTTTAAGCTGATTTTCTCAGAGATTTTTAATGGGGTGGGGGGTATGGGGCTCTTATAAGAAAATTTGATCTAATATAATCCCTTAACCGTGAGATACAGTTTCCACGAGACATAAACTGCATGTTAACATTTGATTTGTCAGCATAAATCAACGACACGAAGCCAACGCGCGACAGACAGACAGACAGACAGACAGACCAAGAGACAGCCTCAAGTGTTGCCCACACACAGAAATAATACTCCAGATTCAGAGATATGTCTCATACGGGGGCCCAGGGGCTGTGGCAGAGGTAAAGACCACACACACAGCCCGGGCTTATATAGATACATTTTTTGTGTTATTTATTTAAATTTTTCATGTTGGAAATTAAGTGGAAAACACTCGAGTTTTTCGTGTGGAGTCCAGAGATTTATTTATTTTTTTTTTTTTGGGGCGCTGACTGGCAGCACGTGAAATTTTATCAATGACCGTTTTCCACAGTGCTGCAGTTTGTGTGTTGATATGTGGAATTTGATCTTTGTTTTACTCATAACATACCCCTGCCCCTGCCTTTCGTTCCCCTGCGCCTAAACAAACACTTTGCCCCCACAGATTAGACGAGAGTTTTTTTCCGCATGAAAAATTATCTATCTATCTATCTATGTTTTTATGTGAGGAAAACAGAAATTAAATATGTAACCTTTTAAAGTCGAGGGTTGATTTCGGGGCCAGCCAGTCAGCCAGCCAGCCATATGTTTCCCCAGAATGAGTCAAGAGTCCGTTCTGTGGCAGGACCAAAGGGCAGTGCTTTATTTTTTGTTGCCATTCTCTTTTTTGTTCCACGGCCCACTAACATTTGTTGTCCTTTTGCTGCTGCTGCTGTTGCCTGTCGCTTAACTTTTTCATTGTTATTGTAATTTCTGTTGCTCGCAGCGAGGGGATATGGTCATCATCATCATCTGTACAAGGGGGCGGGCGGCAGTCGTCAAGGCATGGCTGATGTCGGAAGAGCTTCAGTAGCCGTGCAACAGCTGCTGTTGCTCGGGCAACACTCTCTCTCTCTCTCTCCCTCAAGGACTGACTTGAAGGCAACCCAAACGCAAAAGAAAATTTGTTTCACTTTTGCTTTAAAGTGATTTTCTTGTGGTTTTTCCCCCGCAACCAGGAGGGATTTTTGTGTGTGTGTGTGTGTGTGTGTGTGTGGGGCGTTGTGCCATGTTGGCAATTTCTCATCATCCCTTTTTTTGGGGCCTTTTTTTATTTATGCCAGAGACTTCAATTTAAATGGCCTTTAAGATGGCCCCTTTAAGCGAAGAAAGATTGAAGTGAAAGTGTTTTGGAGTAAGAAAATATGGAAATGAAAGAGAAAAACAAAAAGGATTCTCTTTGTGCGATATTTAATTGAAATTTGAATTTGAAAATGAAGAATAAATAAAATCAAAGCCAAAATTTAAAAGATAAAACTACACAAAAACCGATTTCCCCAATTAAAATAAATTTACGGGAACCTCTACAATCGCAAATAAAATTCAAACAGATTTTGACTTGTCAATAAATCAATTCAATAAATTCATATACACAGATTTCGAGTGCTTTTGCCACTCAACTGTTAACATTTATTGGGGTGTTGAGCCACCACGCCCACAGCTACAAATATCAACCTACCACTTGAGTTTGCTATTGTTGTTGCTGTTGCTGCTGTTGTTGTTGTTGCAATATGCATAACACATAATTCAATAAGGCAACATAAATTTCTGACACCTCTAACGAGAAAGCGCGCAGCAAAAAAACCAAACCAAAAGCAACTTGCGAGCGATGTGAAAAGGAAAAACACTAACCAGAAAATACAAAAGGAAAATCCCAACAGCTGTGGCCAAAATGCAGGGGCCACCTCATTACGAGTTTAGAGAACGGGTAAGGGTTGCCGCATAATCAGCCACCCCTCGGATGGGTCGGTGTGCGGGGATTTGCAACGCCCTCGAAATTATAATCAGCCTTAACTTGCTATAGTACAGCGGGGGGTGGGGGAGGGAAAATGTGCTGGGCTTGGCTACTCACCGGCATTGCCTGACAGACATCGCTGTCCCATTGCTGTTGGGCCAACTGCTCATCGTTGCAGTCCTGCGGCACCACCGTATATTCGGCCAACGCTGGCGGCCTTGGCGGCGGCGGTATAAGGAACTGTGGCGGCGGTGCCAGTGGCATGGGCATTCCCCCCGCACAGTCATCGCACTCGAACATAAAGATATCCGCATCGGAGGAGGGCATGTCCATGATATCCAACATTTTCCACATTTGGTGTGTGTGTTTCCGTTCTAACACAACAATTTTTGTATACGGCAGTCCTTGGGTTGGAGTCCTGCCTAGGTTTCTCGGTGTGTGTGCGTGTGCGTGTGTGTGTGTGTTTTGTTGCAGCTCTTTTGTTTAGTTGTGTGGGGGCGGGGTCAAATGCGCTTCCCGATGGCTGCTGCTGTCATCGCTGGACAGCCGTCGGTGGCGGCCTCTAAGAGCTGTAAAGAGAGAGAGAGCGAGAGTAGGATATACTGATTAGTTGGGGTATACGCAAAGGATCTTTTATGAGCAGCCAAATAACAGAAATGTAAAAGAAACTACGTTGAAAGCGGCGTGGACCAGACCAGCATGTGTCCATGTCGCCTCGCATGTCGCCTTGTGTATCCTTGTGCTGTGTTCCTTTTGTTCCTGCTAATTATCTGACACATGAATGTCCTGGCACGTAACAATTTCCAAGTTGTCCATCCTCCATCCTCCTGCTATCTTTATAATTAGCTTGATCCTGACCATTTCAGCTCACACACGGTCGTCCCGTGCCCCAAGCAGCAAGCAGCCAGCAGCACGCGCTTTCCTACTCTGCCGCCACCCCTAAGCCATGACACCTACCCCTAGCAAAATAACACCTACCCATACCCCATCCCTAACCCCCCTGGCCAATGTTAATTTTTATTGATTTTGCTTAATGCGTTTCCAGTTTTTTTGCCATTTTATTTTTATTTACTTTGTGCGTTGAGTATTTATTTTTTTTTTCTGCTCTGTTCGGTTCTGCTTATCCTATTTCTATTTTTGGCCGCAGCAGCACCCCCTGGATATTTCTGTCGACTCATGGGCAATTGTTTTAACCCTCGAAGGGCAGGGGGATTGGTTTTCTCTCTCACTTCTCTTCTTTATGATTTTTATTATCCTTTTTTTTTTTGGGTTTCTGTGTGCGGTTGATGTTTTTTTTCTTCACACATATGGCTTAGAAAAAAATAATTGAAGAGCAGAGAAATTGACTCTCGGGCTGCAACCTTTTGGCAGTTGTTGTTGTGTGGCGGGGGGGTTAAGATTGAGTTAGGATTGAATTGGATGATTGATTGATGGTTGGGATGGATGGTCCGGCTGTAATGTGATATGTGTGAAGCGTAAGAGTTGGTAAAAAAATATCTTAAATTCTCTAGCTCCTTTTTTTTGAACTTAAATCAAAAGTTGGACTTCAAGATTTTCCCTCCATCTGTTGTCGGTTTTTTTGTTGTTGTTTTTTTCTTTTTGTTTAGCTTGGGGTAGTCCCAAGTCCAAGGTTGATGCCACGAATACGTTGCAACATATGTTGCCAGTTGGTTTTCATTTAATTAGCTTGACAGCTCAGAGATTCTATACAGCGCAAGAGAAAAGAGAAGAGAGGAGGTCGGTCTCTCGGTCTCTGCCTCGATGTGCTCTCTGTGATAAGATCTCTTTTTTCTCTCTCACAACACAAGAGCAAAAAAAAAAAGAAGAAATGTTTGTATCTGTAGCTATGTATCTTTGTATCTCCAAGTATCTGTCTGTGTCTGTGTGTGTGTGTCTTGTCTTGCAATCAAATGTAAGCCGCTGTTGACATTGGAGATTAAAAGATATTAAAAACGAAGACGACAAACCAGGAGGAAAAAGGCAAGAGAAAGAGAAACGAGGAGGAGAAGTAGGAGGAGCAGACAGGCAGCAGTGGCTTGGATACAATGACACTGGCAGGGGGAGCGGACAGTGGGGGGGACACTCTCTGGACAGACACACACACAAAACATGTCAAAGATGAAATGTTGTAAAGAAAATTGAATTGAATTGAACTTCCCAGCGGCCGTGGCAGTGGCGGCAGCGGCAAACTAATAAATAACAAAGCAAAGCAAACCAAATCGAAAAGGAAAATAAAAGTTAAAACTTAAAAATCTTAAAGCTCTCAACTAAGCGAGGAGAGTGAGTAGAGTATCTTGTATCTGCCGCTTGAAAATCGATTGAATTGTCTGGCCCATTGGGTGATTAACTTTGAGCAGACAAAAGAAAAACGAAAAGCAAAAAAAAAAAAACGTTTGAGTATAATGAAATAAATCGTGTTGAAAAAAAAAAATAAAAGAGGAGAACTCTAAGGCTGAGCGACGAGAGACTGAGAGACTGAAGTCCAAGAGGAAACGACAGACAGACAGACAGACAGACAGACAGGCAGTCAGACGAAAGTCAACGAAATCGATTTGTTTTGAGATTAAGTCTGAGACTGAGCCTGAAAAAACTCCCTGACCTCGCTATGCCCTGTCTATTCTTTATTCTGAAAGCAAGGAGCAGGCAGGGCAGGCAGCCAGCCAGTAAAACGGAAATGTTATGGACAGCAGGCCTGAGCGTAATGGAAATCAAAGCCAGAGACAGAGCCAGAGAGAGCCAGGGCAATTAGCGAGTGAAGTCCCTCTCCTCTCCACTCTCTCTACTCTCGATAAGCCCAAAGCAGCAAGCACTTAGATAATTGTCTTAAAAAGCTGGACAGGGGGATGGAGTTTGGAATACTTATAAGGACCAGCAGCTGTCCCAGTGAGGGAGGGAGACACTTCAATCGAAAACCCCCCAAGAGAACCAACAATTTCAACCCATTCCTTGAGCCCATAAATACCAAGCACTTCAGGCCAATTAAAGGCTACACTTTCTTTCACTTTCACATTCACATTCACTTCGTTTCGTTTCGTTTGTGATTTATACCATACACACCAAAAATTCTCCTCTGCTCTCTTGCCAGTACTTGACACAAAAGACAATTGCGGTTGTCCTCCTCTCAAGTACAAGAAGGCAACAAACAGCTGCTCGTGAAATTTATATGCATTTCTATAATTGAATTGTTTGATTGGTAAAAAAAAATTACTAGAAACAAAAACGTAAGAAGGAACAAAATTAAATGGACAAAGTCAAACCTCGTATCTCGAGGGGGGTTGCGTTGCAAATGGAAAATGACTCAATTGGAATTGGGCTCTGGATGCCGTGTGTGTGTGTGTCGGTCAGGTAAAGGAAACACATTTATTAGCTACAATGATAAATGTTCTTTCAAGGCAACGAAGGATCTGTAAAAATCCCTCTCTCCCTATCCCTCTCCACATCAACGTCTGTCGCAACGGTCCGTACGTCGATGTGTAATTTTAATTCGTTTTGGGTCTGGCCGGTCTCTGGCTTGGTAGAAAGGAAATTGATATGGGTGCGACATCGTCTAGTTTGTTGGTAAAAATTCAAACACCAACGAACACTCAGGTAGAAATATATCCATTTCTCTCTCTCTCTCACTCTCTCTCTCTGTCTGTCTCTTGTTCGGTTCACATATTGAGACATTATAGTATTTGGTATTGATAACACCACGGGTGATCGTCTCGTAAGTGGAACAAATGCGGCAGACAGTTGGAAATTATCCTTGGAAATAATTGTGTTGCAAAATGTGCGTTGCTTGGGCCATGATTTTTGGCAGCAGGCAGTAGGGTTTTCTTTTCCTTTTCTGAGCAGGGGGATTAGTAGTTGTAAGTAGTTTTGGTTTTTTCGAATGATTGGGAATTAAGTTGGAAGGTTAAGGTTGTGTTGGGCAGAGACTTGGAGTTATTTGTAGGGCTACTTTGAAGTGTTTCCCAAAGGGTTTTCTTTTTTCACACAGTGAAAGTTCTTTTAAAAAAGTATTATTTTTATGGTTTTATATATATTTTAAACCCTCTTTTCTATCGGTTAATTCTTGTTGCTATATTTTGTTGTCTGCTTACCAGATCTTTGGGCATTATTTATAATATTTTCTGTTTACTTTGATTAAGTTTAAAGCCTCATCTCTCTCTCGCTCGCTTTGCCGCCCCCTGCCATAACTTTAATCTGTATAGTAAATGCCTTGCAGCATGCCTCCTTGTGCCACACACACACACAAATTACCAAGATTTGGGGCCTCTATCACACTCCCCTCCCCTACCCAATCCTCTGGTTAAGCTCCATAAAGTGGCTGGGCTACAAAACCTACGGCAACTTTTGACTTAGTTTACATATCATTTATTATTTTGCAGTGCCGGGAGGGTCCTGTCTCAAGGGTACGTGGGTGGGGTGCGGGGATTTCCTCTATTGTTATATAAGGTGTGTTCTACAAAAAAATCCAAAACAAAACTTGCCACGCCCCTGAGGCGTTAAGACAGAGAGCAAAGAAAACTTTTAAATAAAGCAAAGAATGCGTTGAAAGAGGCAGAGAGTGTGTGGTAGGTGAGGTTGGTGGGGGGGCTTGGGCAGTGGGAAATGAGAAGATGACGGCATGTCACATCAATGTCACTCAGCATTAACGGCGGAGAGAGGAGAGCGAGAGCGTGAAACACCGTGAAGGAGATTGGCAGGGGGGGGGGGGTGGTGAGGGTAGCCAGCAAGGAACTGTGGATTGCGTTTTGGATTGCTCAGGGAGGGGCACGTCCTGCCTGGACTGCGATAAAGTTTTTTGTTTTTTTTTTTTGTTCTGTTTCGCAGCCTCTTCCATTGCTCGGTCTTTCTGTGTGTGTGTTCCCTCCTTTGGGCAGCCGCCAGCTGAGGCATGAAAATCAGCCTCTCCCTGTCCCACTCCTCCCTCTCTCGCTTCCGCCCCGTGCCTTATGCTTTCGCTTTTCTTTCGCACACTTCCTTCTCTACCTTCTTTCATTCATTCTACTCCCCCCGCCTCCTTTTTGTTTCCTTTAGCGTTACTTTTGTGCTTCGCGCGAGAAAATTTACAAGCGTATAACAAATATTTTGTTTTGTGTTTACAATTTCTTTTTGCGTGCTTCGTTTTTTTTGTCCGCCCCATAATCTCTCTCTCTCTCTGTCCTGTTCTGCCAGCTACTACTTCGTACTCTGCTGTGTGCTTCCTGTGGCTGCTCTCCTTCTGCATCTTTCACTTGTCCTCAAGACCTATTTGCATAAGATACTTTCTGGTTTTCTTGTCCGCGTGGAGAGAGAGAGGGAGGGAGAGAGAGGGAGAGAGACAGCGTAAGCGAGGACTTTACCTTGTAAGTAGCTTAGGCCTATTGGAAAGTACTACCCAGGGATTCAATGAGCAGAATGAGCACTTCCCACGCTACCCCAAGCACCAGCAGCAGCAGCAGCAAAAGTCCCCATGAATGAAGAATCCAAGCAGAAGTCCTACGCCCCCGCCCCTCACCCAAAAAACAATTGAGTTTTGATGAAGAACCCAAGCAGAAGAAGTACTATCCAAATGTAGACGTCGTACCCACCAATTGAGTTCTCAAAAAACAAAAAAAAAACAAAACAGCCCAAGAATAAATAAAGTTGGGGGACATTTTCTTTTTTTTACTTGAAATTTATGTTTCAACTACGAAGAAGCAAAGTTTATCCAATGTTTTGGATATAAACAACACACGACATTGGAATACTAATTAGAGGCAGAATACACGCTGCGGATAGGCGACGCTGAGAGGGTGAGGGTGAGGAGATTATTTCATTGAAAAAAGGTTGGACAGCAACAGCAAACGGAAATCCTGTGAAAAAAGGCTCACCAATCGCTGTGCTCTCACAGGGAAAGAACAAAAAAAAAAAAAAGGTTAACATGTGTAAAACTCAATTCTGAATTAAAATTCAATTTGCCAACAGGTAACAAAAGTTCGGGGGGAAAATCCCAAACTTAAAACCGATTGACCGCAAAGCGAACCGAGAGTGAACTCTTTTCAATACCCGCCCGATCCCTGGATCAATCTAAATTGAGTTATTATTGTGTACCTCATTTGGGGGCAGAACAGGGATTTCCTGTAAGGAATTATACCCTTAAAATGTAGTGAGTTTTTGTTCTGGGTATAGCCTTAGCTATTAGCGAAAAATTCCACTTGATTTAATGCACTTTCTTCTATAAATCTCATCACTGGGTATACCTCTAGTCGTTGTATCGTTTTTCTACCTTCCATTCTTGCTTATTATTTATTTGTGTGGCGGCCACGATTCCCGTTTAACAACTCATTTAAAGCAAAGACACATGCGGCACCAACAGAGATCTTATCGCCCGATCTGAAAGATCTCTGCGCGCTCCCCCTCTCTCTCTCTGTAGCACCACCACCACTCCTTCCTTCTGCCACACGCTCGCTTGTCGGCAACATAAATTTTATTTTGCGTGAATTTATGAGTTACGCTGCAGACAGTCGGTGCAGGAGAGCAAGAGTCGGGTAGAGGGGGGGTACAAGAAGTGCGTATTTACCAAAGGATTAACACGAAGGGAAGTAAAGAGAGAATTGGAGAAAAAATAATGAACCTGCCTGTGTCGGGTGGCATGGCTATTGCACTTGTTGCTCATTTGCTAATAATTTAAACAAATTTACAATACAAAAAAATATGAAAAAAATACAGAGAAAAAACACTAGATGAAAATGTTTGTCAGCGTCAAACAAAGGTGTCGCCCGCCTCGTCTTCTCTCTTTCTTCAACTAGTATTTGGTTATAATTAAAGTTTGTCTCGCCATCTCGCTGCCTGCCTCTCTCTCTCTCTCTCTCTATGTGCTGGCTCTGTCGGTTTCTGGACTTTGAAGAAGAACCGCAATGCAGGCCCCCAAAACAAAAGCCCCCTGAGAGAGATGATTTGTTTACACTCTCTGAGAAATGCTTGGGTTGCTCCAAGAGTTCTATTTGGTTTTTGTTGGTTTTGGGGCAGTTGGGATCACATATCGCCCATATAAAACTGATATCTATAGGGAGATACTTCCACTCATCGCTTGTAATTCTATACACACAGATAAACACACACACACACACAGATGGATCTTTCCACTTGTGTTGGGCCCAGCCACACTTGATTTTTTATTTTTTGGATTTCCATTATAATTCCAAGTTTATTTGAATATTTCACTGGGGCTTTTTTTTCGCCCTACTTCCTCTCATAAATCTTTTAGTTTTTGTTTTTTTTTTATGGCCTTACTTCCTCTGGAAAGTATACTTTATTTCGTTTCAATTAGTCACCGCACTTTGAAGATTAGAAAACACTTTTTACAATCATATTTTGTGACCTTATGATAATGCTCTAATCACAAAGCCAAAAAGCGGCTTGGCTTGCATTCGCCCACAGAAGCTCCCAGGCTTATGATCTGTTTATAACGCCTGAGATCTATGCGTAATCCGGTCTGCCGTTTGGGGTAAAAGTTTTCCAATTTCTTTTGTATTTTTTTTTGTATCCATTTTCCCTAGCCACACTTACCCGCTATTTCCTATATATACTCCAAAATGTTAGGGTTTTCAAATGGATTTTGTTTCTTTACTATGTTCTATTTCGTATTTATTTCGTTTTTGTTACTTTTGATTTTATTTTCTGTTTTGTTTGGGAAACACTAAACACAATATAATTTGTTTTATTTTCTTTATTTTAAAACTCTTTTTGCATATTCTTGTGTGGTTTTGCACGACGCGCGGCGTTTATCTTTAGTTGTATTTTGGATGCAAGCACTTTTCACTTTTTCGCCACTCAGTCTTCTTGTTTTGTGAAATGTTTCGGAATACGAAAAAACTCAGATCAGATCGCTTTTGATGAAATAACGCGAGACGCACCACGTCCGATGTCGGGGACGGCGATGGATAAACTGAACGGTAACTCCGAGGCTGCTTGCCGGTTTGCCCTGCCTGCCACAACGAGCCAACGCAGGCACAGGCACAGGCACAGACACAGACACGCTCGTGTGCATGTCTCATCGTGCTCAATCGTGTTTCGGCCTGCGTTTCGGTTCAAAATGAACACCCCGAGAGAGAGAGAGAGAGCGAACGACAGAGAGAGTAACTGAGTACTGCTGTTGCTGCTGCTGCTCTTGTGGCCAGGTAATAGAGAGCGTGGGGTTCATTCTAAACTGTTTGATTTCTGCCTCGATTTTGGGACTCGTTCATTTGGTTTTCGTTGGGGCTTGATGCTTGTACATGTTGCTGCTGACGCTGCTTGAAAAAACCATTAAAAATTATGGAAATTATGGAAATTAATCGAAATTTTTGCTTATTGAACGCTGGATCATATTACGCAAACCCCAACAGATTCTTTGGCTACCAAAAAAAAATGTTTAAAATATTGTTAACAAGGCAATAAAATGTCTGGAATATTGTTAACATGGTAATAATTGGGTGTGTTTTGCTGTAATTTGGCTGCAGTAAATATCCCATAAATAGTTATAGTTTCCTGGAGAGAGATGACTCTTCAAGATATTCCCACAAATTTCTCTTGTTTGCAAAACACTTGCCACAAATGTTGTGGGTTAAATTAAAAATCAGCTGAAACAATTTTAAATATCAATTTCAAATGAAAGTTGGTTATATTTGTCAATACCAATAACAAGAATTATTCATGTTTTATCAGGTTTCATCGTAAAAAAAAATATAAAACTTAAAGCTGAAAGTCTGCAACGAACAGCTGACGTAATGTAAACGAAGCTTTGGATGCCCTTTAAATGGCTATAACTACAGTTAGTAGTTGCAGTACTTTCCCAGTGCAGTAAAGCCAATCAGTTCCAAACATCTGGTGAAATTCGTAATGCCATGCCCCCACTGCCATGACAAGGGCATAATATGATCAAGGTCAATGTCTGAGTGGGGGTGGCTGGGCGGCTGCCGGGAGTTTAGTGCTTTTCATAGCTTACAGTTTTTTCCCGATGCTGCTGCTGGTGCTGTCTCTACCCCCTTCCTCTGCTGCCGTTTCACCCGCACCCCCTTTCGCTGCTGTTGCAGTTTTTTCTTCTCTTCTGGTGCTGCTGCTGCATGGAAAATGAAAATGCCGGCTTTCGAATGAAAATGCAATGTTATTTTTCATATTGCACACACAAACACACACACACACACACAAGCAAATGTGTGAGCTCTCTCAATCAAACGAATTTCGAGTTCGAAAATGAACGCTGCTTTAGCGCTCTCTCTCTCTCTCTCTCTCTCTGCTTGCTCTCTCTGCCTGCTTCGGGTTCATTCGTATTGTGCTCGCTCACTCTCTCTCTCGTTTTTCTGCTTTGTTGATGTTGCTTAAATGCCTTAGCAGCATGCTGCTGCCTGACTATATACATTGGCGTGTTGCTGGACACATTTGCATGTTGCTGTACGCTTTTTGTATGTTGCTATGGGTGCAATTTTTTCTGTTTACGCATTTTTTTCGCACCTCTTCTCATTTTTGTTTACAGTTCTACTTTCTACCTTCTTCGTTGCACTCCACACCCCCACCTCTAACTCTCACCCCCCTGGCTTCAACGATCCCTACCCCCTACCCCACCCCCTGCATTCTTTCTGTGTTTTGTTTATAAACATTTTTTCTCCCCCACCCACCCACGCCTTTTGTCTGGGATTTTTCTTGTGTTTGTTTTCAATGCAATTCTGGTGGAACAGCCGTTGAAAGGTGGCAGTGGGGGCATGCGGGGGGGTCTGTGGTGGGGGGCATGGAATTGTTATAGATCGGTGTGGAGGAGCTGCACAGAGGCGCGTGGGGGTGGGGCAGTGGCATCTGTGGAGTCAAAGAAATATTCTTAATAAATTGTTGGCAACAAATGTTTTTGGGAGCCCGCAACTTAGTCAAAGTCCAGGGGGGTAATACCCTCCCCCACACCCTGTGGCTGACCCTTCAACACCAGCCCATGCCACATTACCCTACACACAGCCCCCGCCCCCCCCTCGTGCACTCATTAGGCGCGTCAAGTGATATGTTGTTGGGCAGGAAGGGAATGGGAATGGATCCACCAAAACACATTAGCAGCTCATACCACATGCCACATGGGGCAAGAGGGTGGCGCAAATTAAAGAAGCATTAAGAGGGGGGGGTGTATCCAAATGAAGTGTGGTAGGGGCAGGGGGTAGGGTTAACAATCAGCGGTAGAGGTTAGCGGTCAGGGGGCATGGGCTGTGCCGTGCGACAAATGGCGGCCACATGAAATTCACATCCAAAAACTCAAAGAACTTTTGTTCGAGCAAAAGCCGCAGAAAGATACAAAACTGAAAAGTATCTTAGGGATGCAGAAATCTTAAAAGTTAGTTTTGCATAGGGGTGGGAGGAAAAAAGAATCTGTAGCTTAAGAACAATCTTTGGGATTGAAAACTCTGAAGAATTATGAGCTTATGAGATACAAAAAGTATTCGAAGCTCACAAGTTTGGGGCTTAAGATGCAGACGCTGCATATGGGTAGCTTAAAAGATACAAAAGTATCTGTATGCAGCACTAGCACCAGAGATACAAATACATTAACACCTAAAAGAGAATCTTTTTGGAATAATTCTTTTAATAGAAATGCAAAACTATTTGGACAAAGGTATTTCTTGGGTAGCAGGAAGAGAGGACGGAAGTACATCACTCCTTCAAAATATCCAGATAGATTGTCATCATAGTACAAGGGACACGCAGTACATTCAAAATCATACACCAAACAGAAAATGTACCTTCTACAGCCTGGCATACCCTGATTACAAAACTGGCCCAAAATCCTGCCCAAAAATCCAACTCTTTCGCACACGAAACAAAAGCGTGTGTTCGAGTTAACAAATCTCTCACTTGGCTTACCAATTAGTCAGCCCAGAGTTTCAGGTCTCCCTTAACAAAATGCTCTTTTTCGGGTAGCACCGACACACACACACCCCACACACACACAGTTGCAGATATTCATGGCTCATGGCTCATGGCTCATGGCTCGGGGGACAGCTGACCAAGCTCGTGTTTGCAGATATAATAATTAATAATTCTGGGGATAATCCGCATGTTTGTCAAAGTGATACGGTCCAGCAATGTGCAGAGTGAAAAGCGAGAGGAGAAAAACCTGAAACACACAAAAACACCTACACGCACACGCATGCAAAGATACAAAGATACTCGTACACACACAGAGATTTAAATAAATGCTCATGTGTGTGTGTGCGTGTGTGTGTAAGCCAAAGATATGTTGGCCTAAAACCATCTGCATAAATACTTATAGATTCGGTACGAGGTGAATTCTTTGTGATACTCGTAGCACGATGTTCGTTTCCCATACAGATGATTATACAGAAAATTGCAGTCCGGGGGTTGGGAGTACACGAGTATGCTTGGAGGCTGGAGAATATCTGCGCTCCCTGCTCCTGAGACACATTTTTGGCTTACTTTCAGCTGTTCAGGCAGGGAGGGAGGTTCTGCCTCAATTTATTAGACATTTTATGTGTATAAAACTTCATTAGTGCTAAGAAAAATATTATTTCTTCTTCCATCCGATTGTGTGACAAATATTTCTAAATGAAACCGATTTCAATGGAAATTGATTTTTGGGCTGCAGAAATCTTTGTGTATTTGGTTTGGGTTTGCATGTCTTAAAATACAGGAAAAAACAATTTAGATCTATGGAGAATTTTCTCTTGAAAATATCTCAACAAATCGCAATAAAGAATCTAAATTATTTATTTATTTGCATTTATTATTTTGTAATTTATTTCATTTAAATTCTTCCCTTACAGTCAGTCAAAAAATCGTTAAAATCCTGCTAGACTTGTGAGAATAAGATGAAGCATTAAAATAGAATTTTTCGTTTTTATATTAGCTTTAATTTTTGATTGAAAGATACTGCTTTTTGGTGTACAAGTCGTGAATGTTTGTATAAAAAATGATTAGGTAGCTGTTTTCTTGAAACTTATAGAGTTCTCAAGCTCTTACGATGTGTGGGGGTCACCAAAAACGATTTGATTTCGACATGACTCAAATACTACAAACATTACTCAATATTACAAATATTACCTCTTCTCGTTGCTTATATTTTGTCTCTGTATCTGTCAGAAATCGTATCTTCTACACAGGTTTCTCCCATATGTATCTTCATATCTTATCTGATTTTCTGACCTTGTTAAAGTCCGCTGCCATAATCTATATAGTTCAAGGATTTTCATGTTTACGTACTGAATGTTCCGCTCTTAAATAATCGCTCTGCTGTTTGTCAATGATTTCGCACAATTCACGTGTGCGATAAAACTTGACACAACAAATACGAAATATCCTGCATATAGCCAGTGCCACCCCCCCTGAATCCTGCCTGGCTCCACACATCCATCCCCTTGTGCCAATTTCAAGTGCAATTATAATTTTTGTTTGTCATGCAAAAGCATCAACAAGCAAAAACAATCGACAATGGGGCAAGTGGCAACAACAGTGCTACAGCAGCAGCAGCAGCAGCAGCAACAGCTCCAGCGACAAAATGGGGAAAAATACACACACACACACACACACACAACAGGAACAACACGCAGGCGGCAGGAATTGTGTGGCAAGGCAAGGGTTCTCCTGTGTAGAGTGAGCGGGGGTGGACAGAGGTTTAGACACAGGGGGTGTGTGGACTGGCCACAATC